CCTTCCGTCAGTAAGGCTGATGCTAACTTCCAGGTAAGTGACTCATTCTTGGCTGACATGAAGAGGAAAGACTATATTGAATTCATTGCTAGGTCAGCTGCCCTGAAAGTTGGTGCACTGTGACATGCTGGACAATTATTCTATCTTGAATCTATCTTGCATATCTATAAGTCTACCATTTTTAGAATATTGTTGCCAAATATGGTTCAGAGCTCCTGCTTTATATCTAGAGATCCTTGATAAAATCCAAAGAAGAATCAGCAATATTATTGGTCTTGACTTGGCTTCTTGGCTTCAGTCACCTTCCAACTGCTGTAAAGTTGCCTTCTTGTGCCTTTCCTATAAATATGTTCATGGTAACTGTTTGGATGAGCTCTTCACTAGGGTAACTAGATTTTATGAATTTAAACGCAGTATTAGACTGGCAATGAGTTATCAGTTGGCTAGATGTAACTGTAAGTTCTATGCTAACAGTTTCTTTTCTCTCACTTTCCACTTGTGGAACACTCTTTCAGCTCCATACTTTCCAGTCAAGTTTAATCTTCAAAAATTTAAATGCAATGTCAGTTGCTATCTGCTGTCCTCCTGATTACACTTTCCTTTGTCCCCACTTCTTAGTAATGTTTCTGCTTTCTAATTCTTTCACACCCAGTAACCTCTTATGTCTCAGTGGCTTTACTGCCTTGCTTGGGGTGAACTTATATATATAATGCCATGTTTTGGACACATTACAAGGCACAACAGACTGTGCAAGACTATCATGCAAGACACCATTGAAGGTGGACATAGGAGAGGATGCCAATGTCAAACAATGGACAGGTATGACTATACCAGAATTGTTGATGGCTGCCGTTGATAGACTGTTGTGGAGAAGATTCAGTGTGGCTTCTGCATTTGGATTCACTCTAAGATTACAAAAGTCAAGGGGATAATATATATATATATATATATATATATATATATATATATATATATATATAAATAATGGCTGGCTGTTTGTAACTGATTATGCCTGTCTGCTAGGGCAGCTAGCTAATCCCTGTTGTAGATGTTGGCTCAGGTACATTTGTGTTTGTTCAACACTCACATGTGGTTTATATTAGAACTATACTGAGCAAACCTTAGAGTTTCTGGGAGAGAGAGTACATCATCTGGTGTGATCGACAATACACTCAAACCCTCGCTCAGGATGACTTGTGACTTCATGCTTGCACAACCATCAACAAATAATTCCATCTGGTCATTTCACTCATAAGGCTTGGGTCAACCTCTATTATGGTTTTCAGGTTCTTTCCAAAGGTGCCACATGCTATATACAATAGACTACCCATAATGCATCACTGACTTGTATACATAAATAGTTGAGCAAAAACACAACACACATGGCCTGATGATTATGTTTAGCATGAAACAGACTGTCACCTCTGGGTGTTGACTTCAATGTCCACTTTAGATTTACATATGCTCTATCCCTGATATTGAACACTTTTACCCATAAACATAGTATATCTTAAAACTATATTTTATCATTTTATATATATATATATATATATATATATATATATATATATATATATATATAAAATGTATGTATGCATATTTTGATTCTAAAGATGCCCCTTTAATTCACAACTTTGAATAATTTCTTTTCAAATAATATTTTTAAAAAAGGTAAAATTGGAAGGTCATATTTTGTCAGTTACTATTTTTAGGAGAAAAAAGTTTTGATATTTCTATTAAGAGAAATCAACAGATGGCTTCAAAGACAAACAACATTGACTTTTGCATTGTGTGTTAAGCACAAGATGTGACCTTCAATTTTCTGTAAACAATTTTTTAGAATGTTATCATAAACCAAATCTGCTTTTAGGGTTAGAAATGATTATAAACAAAAAGTGAAACATTTCATTTCCTTAAAACATCATTTATAATAAATGAAATAAATATGAAAAATAAAATGATATATGAAATTTTATTTGGGTTCAACTAAAATCTGTGTAGATTTAATGTGATGAAATCCTGTGACTTGTTCTTCATGAAACTGCCCATAATTAAATCAGATCATCTTTGCTTATTAAATATTCAAAATGGCTGACAAATGATGGAGTAACATTCAGCATTTCTATCTTTGGATCAGTTTTCTTTTCTTAAACTTTAGGTTATGTTTGTGATAGCTTCCAAATAAGACTCGGAACATCATATTTTTTTTATTTTGAAAATATTTAATTCCCTTTATACAAAATGCATGAAAACCTGAGGGACAATCGAGATCTTTAGCATGTTCTATTGAACAGATTTTACCAATTTATAATTGATTTGGTTAACACTTGTGACAGGAACGAGTTGAAAACTTACAAAATAAATGAACAATACATACATGAGTATATATATATATATATATATATATATATATATATATATATATATGAGAGATAGAATAACAATTGTTTAAGAGATAAAAATATATTTTTGTGTGTACACAGATAGAAACAAACAAAGGAAAGAAAAACATTTATGCGTTTAGCTGTTAGAAAATGTGTATGTGTGTGCATGCACCATGTGGTTGGGTAAAATTAAGAAATCAGCTTGACATGTGACTAAATCTCTTAGGAGGTGAAAACTGGATGTGTCTTCTACCTACTGCATCCTGTTACTGAGAGACAAAGTAGAGAAAGAAAGAGTTTATACACTTTCCTTTTATATCACTTATTGCCACACCACCTATCAAGCATTAAATGAAATCTCCTGGCAGATAAGGTGAGGAAATACCACTTTTTAAAGAAATTAAACTGAATTTGAAGTTTTTGATATTTTTGTCTATATTCACCTAAGTCTGTTGCTATAAACTGAGGAAAAGAAGGAGTCAGTAAGTTGGCTCTATCTATCAGTAGAAAGAGGAAATATGGCTTCATAAGTATTTTCTTGTGAATGTGTAATGAGGAACTTAAAAGAGGAGGCAAAATTTCTTTAATTTGTTCTTGATGAAAATAATTGTACTTAAAGCATAACAACTAGTGATTGAGATTCTTTAAAATTCATTGAAGTTTCATGCTCATTTCATATAATAAATGTTTTTGACTAGTGTTTTACATTTTGAAAAAATTATAAACAATTTATAAAAGACAACCTAATTCATCCTGCAAAGAATAACCACCACCACCACCACCACCACCATCATCATCATCATCATGGACATGTTTTTTTGTTGATGCAAGTCAGGGATTAATCTTGCTCAAAGCAAGGTGGGTCCTACCTGAACGAGGATCTCAATTTACCTCTCCACATATGCTTATCACCATACTGAGACTTGTCATAATAATCTGAGGCAAAGTTTTACAAGGCTGGATGTTCTTCCTGATACCCAACTCAGAAACTCAGTAGTCCAAGAACATTGAGTGTAAAGCAGATATGAAGTATAAACAAAATATTATTTTGGATTCTGTAAAATCTTTATATTTTTTTTTTTTTTTGATATGGTGTGATTGTAAAGGTCTCAGCAGCTTTAGGATTCTCTCAATAAACAAAAACATTTCTTAAAGCAGCAAACATTTTAGTATATACTAAACTATAGCCTAAGATGAAAGGTTTGACTATGAGAATTATTTTTCCCCATCCATTTTTCAACCTTCTAGGCACTGAATTTCTAAAATATAAATATGGCTGTTTTTACTTATTAATTAGCTATAATAATTAATTAACTAAAATAATTATTGATTAAATCTGGTAAAAGGAACCGAAAGACACAATTTTTTAATGCCATGTACCTTTAGGACATAAATCTGGTAAAAGGAACCGAAAGACACAATTTTTTAATGCCATGTACCTTTAGGACATAAATCTGGTAAAAGGAACCGAAAGACACAATTTTTTAATGCCATGTACCTTTAGGACATAAATCTGGTAAAAGGAACCGAAAGACACAATTTTTTAATGCCATGTACCTTTAGGACATAAATCTGGTAAAAGGAACCGAAAGACACAATTTTTTAATGCCATGTACCTTTAGGACATAAGTGATCATGGCTCTCCAGTTTTCTTTTCTGTATTATCTGTGAATTGCTATAATATCTTGGCAAAGATGGTTGAGTAGTTTTGTATTTAAAGTTCTCCTTCTAGACTGGTTATCATCCAAGGCTAGAGAGTTCAGTCTAGCCTACTATTTAACCATAGCTGGAAGGACAAGAGATAGATTCATGTCTTCCCAAAAAGTATTACTGTAAAGTGAATGTTCTAGATTGGATTTGAATCAATCAATTTTACATTCTACACTGATAACCATTATACTACCTGAATGTCCCTGTACATTGTCTTAAAAACCTCTTGCAGGGACCATCTTGAAATTATACAAGTTAGCTCATTAAATATTTAAAATGGATACTCCATGACTGACTGAAATCCAGAATTTCTAAACTAAGAATTATTTTCTCATCTAAGAACTTCTAGAATATTACAAATTTTTTTTTCTGAATTTGGAAGCAGAAATTCTTTTTAGAAACAATCTGTACATTTTAAAAAATTTATAATCCTCTTTTCCAATCTATGAAATATGCAAATTAGGCTCATTAAATATTCAAAATGGTTATCATATGGCTGCTTAAAAACAGATTTTTCAACTTTCAGAATATCTGTTTTGGGCTTTAAATGTCTCCCACAATTGATTGTACTGCCGTTTGTAATGAATTAAATTTTGAAATAATTGAATTCGCTATAGAAAAATGTTCTGCAATACTAATTTGTTTTGCTCTCCAGCTAAGCGCTATAACTGATAAGTATTAAGCTTAGATTAGTCTTACACAATCTCACACTAAGTGGGATTGTTAACAACTTCGTTACGGTAAAAACATCCAATTAATTATTGAACAAATAAAATGATAAATCTACTCAAGAGAAGTAACTACTTATTTATAGCGTTATTCGTAACAGAGTTATTTCCCTTAGATTAATTGCCACGCTTTATTTGAAATTGTAAAAGTAGAAAAATGATTTGATCCGCTTCTTACCTTTTTCGATTTTTCTTGTCGTTGACTTTTCTGGGGAATTCGATATTTGACAAAGAAGCTGCCCGCCGCCTTCGCGGCATGATCTCCAAGTTTGTATTGTCTTTCAATGAACTGCTGCTTTCAAATATGGTTTGATCAGCGCCGCTCTGGCCAATGGCGTCAAGCCCTCCAGCCATACTATTAGACAAGTTGTATCTGTACCTTGTGTTCGCCAATGAACCCAGGCAACGGTCCACACTAGCCGACTCAGTTATATGAGGATCTGTAGAACTAGAATTCTCAGTTGAAGTGATGCTGCCGAGGCTGTATTCGCTGGGAGAGAGTAATTGGATACTTTGACACGAAGCCGGTTTTAAGTCGTAGAGACGGGCTTGACCTTCCTCAACTACCATTAATTGCTGTACATGTTCAGTGCTGAAAATGAAGATTTATTTCTTGTAATTATTTCCATGTCAATATATAAAAAATTATATATATAAAAAAAACCCTTTCATCTGTAGAATTTTAATTCTACATTATTTCCAATATCCAAAATAGTTGGGTCAAATCTGTGCAAAAAGGGGATCACAGAACATTTTCAACTTCATACACTTTCAAAAAATCTCGAGCCCTCATTGGTTAATACAAGTAGGCGGGACTATCCACACACGCTTAACTAATTTTTACAGCTCGTGACTGAAATCCAAGTTCGCGCCAAATCTCTGTGGGCCAACTGAAGCAAATAAAAACAGAAACTCGTTCACACTCGCCAGTGAGCATTATGACCAAACGAATTGCGATTAAACATCACGTCACACAATCTTAAGATTTTCGTTCATACGAGCATTATACAACTTAACGATATCCACACTCACTCACCAAAAGTCATCAGTGAACTCTATTCCCATTCACTAACCAAATTCCTTACGCAGAAGTTAAACAAATTCCTGCTAACAAATCAACTTATTTTCTCTACATTCGAGAACATGTATTTTACAAAAACAATCAAAGGTAGATAACTTCTTTGGTCACAAAATTGCATTCAACTTTACAAACATTTACTACTTACATGAACAGTAAATTCTTAAATGTAAATTTTTCTCTTGCAATTAATTTACAGAATCTTCAATAACAGATTCTAACAAACATTCTTTCAACTCGTTAATACAGTTTAATCTTTCACCAAACTTGAGTTCAACATAAATTAAACTAACAAGATTTCACCTAAAAAATCCACTGCATTTTTGTAAACTATTTTCATTACAAAAATATATTGAAAATTATTTGTTATTCAAATATTTACCTTTTGTCTTTTATCACAAATGTTTCTTGTTGTTTTCTCTTGTTGTTTTTGCATTTTGCTTATCATATTCGTAGAGTAAAAAATTGTATGGATTGATTTGGGCCGTCAACACCATTAAATAAATAGTAACCGTCAAACTGTCCACTACACATCTAACTAGAGCGAAGATTTTATCAACTAATGAGTTTTCGGATGGGACATTTTGATAAGCTTTGATTCTGAGTTTGATTATGGCGACGCTGTGTCTGGTTCAAGGTAATAAAAAAGGAATGGTCTGAAAAGACGGCCTGAGAAGACAACTCCCACTCAGGATTATTTTCAACCAACCAAACGAACGAAATTTGAAACCTGCGACAATTTTGAAAAATGGCTTGATCAGCCTACCGACGCAAATATTATGGAAGCGGTCACCTGGTTTAATTACTATTCATTCACGATATCTCTTTGTGGACAGTCTTGACAGAGGGTCAAAAAACTAATTATCATTTTAACAGAGTTAAACAGAGTTGAGAAGAGGATGCTGGTCTATGAGATACCACGTGGGCAACCAAATTTTCCCAACAACTTAATACAATGTTGGACATTTGAAACAAACACACCATGTCTTCCTCGATGATACCAAAATTTAGCATTCAATACGTGTGCGTGTATGTGCTAATGGTTTTATTATACAATTATATAAGAAAATTAAACCTATAATAAAAAATTAAAAACTATTCCCGTTTGAGGCTTGAAAATTACGGTAGCTCTACTCTAGCGCATTAGGAGATCGAACACTCGAAATGGTTTTTCTTGAATATGATCTTTGATCCGATACATTTTCGCCAAAATGGGAGCTAAATTTATAATTCAGATAATTGGTGTTTAATGTTAGAGTATTATGAAAATGTGTCGTATAGTGCAATAGAAATAAATTCCCTGGATACCATCATCAGTCCCATGACTGGGTGTGGTTGTAGAGTTGCTGCATAATTGAGCGCATACAGTCTCCTTCCACACGTCTCATTCATGCGTAGCTTGTCACGGGCAAAGTAAACCTGGCGAAGTCCATTCCTCTTCAGTTCGATAGTATAACATAAAGCAAAATTTTGCAGTCATATTAGTTGTGAATATAAAACGAATCATGCTATAAGTCGATTTTCTTCATATTAAATTTACAGATTCGATTATTAAATACTTTCTACTTTTAATATTTGTAGCTGTAAGAGATAACGTGACAATTACCAACACGAAATCAACGAACCGGATCGCGTCTTCATCATAAAAATACTACATCCTGTTTAGGATTGGGTTTCCGGTTCCTTCTAAAGTCTTCTCATTTTCTGTCTCTCTTCACTAGCCACTTGTATCTTAGTAGGATTATCGCCTTGCTTGTAGTAAATGGATTAAAAAATTGTGAAAACCGACTACAAATAATAGAAATATTAACCATAAAAAAAACATTAGTAAAATTCTATCAAACTTATGAAGAAATATATATAGATGATAAATGCGAACGTCAGTGTGTCACTGTGTCACACTTTTTCAACTTTACTCCGAGGGGCCGTAGCCCAACATATACCATTTTGGAATCAGGCCGACTCCGTAATAAAAAAAAAACATTCCGTGTCGGATCCGGACCCTCAATCCAGAAATTTTGGATTCCCAAATTTTCATTACTGCGATTGTTTTCAGCGATTTTTTACCTGGTTTTGTGCGATGAATTTTTTGTACCATAACAATTTTCATAATTTTGAAATAAATTCGGGAATGATCGAAATTAATTGCGAAATCCACCGAAATAGAAATAATTGCTTGTACGGAAAATAAGGGCCTACATTGTCTTAAAATTAAGGCAGAAAAATTATCGTTGAACTTCTAAAAGTTAAGCTTAAATATTAGTGCAATACTTAAATGCAGCGATCAGCGATACCTATTGTGATGAAGGCCCAATCAAGGGCCCCGCGCAGGAGCTCGCTTAAATGAAATATATTTAATACTAGCTTAAAGCTATTTAAAAAAATATATTTAATACTAGCTTAAAAGCCGCCCGATATTTCATTACTAATATAAAAAAAAGCAACAAAAATCGTGTAAAGACGTGATTCTTAAAAAAGAAACCGACATGACGCGTGAAGACGCGATTCTTAAAAAAACCGACATGATGCGTAAAAACACGAGATTTAAAAAAAATCACCTAGTTAGGCCTATACCTACCATATAGATCGGCCCCCAAACATACGATAGGCTGGCAGTACACCAAAACATAGACCTACCGATAAAGGAAGTTAGGTTACATTTTACGATGACATGTGCCAAAACTACATAATGTCACACAACTTACCTGCATACTGAGGCACTAACTGTAATATCTTTCTACAGGCGTTGTATAGCAAACAACATGCAACACACTCCGGTAGGTACCGTATATTGTATCGGTATAACTTAACGAACATGTGAACATAAGTTTTAGTGAGATATATTTGCGGCAGCTCTCTAGAGGTATGGTAAGTGATGTACAGTAATTGTTAGAAAAGAAAGATTTTTTTAGGCTAGAAATCTCGACGTGTACGCCGCAATTTACAATAAAATCAACATAACACAAAAATCACCATACATACAGTCACAACATTACCAATAAAAACTCTTTGATAATGACTCATGAAAGCTGAAAATGCACAGATATCGATGACAATTCACTATCAAATTTTACGGGAAACCAGAAAAATAGTCCGAAATATAGACAATGCTTAAAAAAAGAACTACCGCTGGTCTTTAATCAAACTTTTAGAAAATAATATATTTATGTTCATAAACATCTCTTGTAAAACAAAAAAGAACAATAAACAATAAGAAGTCGTTCACAGGATATGGATTTCTATTGTTCCAGACAAATACTCCAAAGCCAACTAATTTTTAAAAGTGGATCGGATTTATATAATCAATATGTCCAAAGTTTTAAAGCAAGGAATATCAACCTGTTTGTATATCTGGCACCTTGATTATGTCAGGAGTATACAAAATAAAAATTGTTTACAGATGAAAATATATAGACAGATTTCAAACATTTTGGAAATTCTCAACAGATTTATTCATTGGAGTCTTTAAAACAATTGCTAGTCTTCATACGTAATCACTCGATCACACACCGAATATAAGCTCACATTAACACCTGAAACACACTCATATACTTCTATTACGTACATCACACATTTACATGCAGGTGTACACTTATCACATGTATATTAATTCTCACTGCCCTCCCACATATCTGGCGTCCTGGTTACGACGATAAACTACATCCCGCAGCAAGGCTTCTGATCGGGAGATTGGATGTTTTGAGGAGCGTGGAACCACCTCTTAATTGCTGTTGTTACCAGGTCCACCCTGATCCGGGGTGGTAGCACTTGTTAGGGTCACAGCTATGGACAAATAACTAACCCCAAATAAAAATCAACAGTACATTTTTATAATAAAATGACCAAGAATACACTTTATAGCAAAATAACAATCAATGCAACACTAAAATTATATAAAATACATTTTTATAGTAAAATTAACAATACATTTTATGTTCTAACAAATATATGTCTAAAAAACATACCTTTAACCTGAAAGTATAAAATTATTTACAAAATATCTGTAGTTAAAAACAACATAGCATACAAAATATGTTTCGGTATTAAATAACTCATAGAGGTGTTGATATGCCGCTAAACAAAAACAACCAACACACATATCTGCTTTTGAGTTTCAAATATGCGGGCCGGGAGGGTTATTCTTTTTTTGAAAAAAAAAATCCATCCGAGACATCCTTATTCCAACCACTCCTTTTATTAAATACTCAAATGAAACTCTTTGTCTTAGAATGCTCGCAAATTAAAATAGGGAAGGGGCGACCTGAATACTAAAATAAAAGGGGTGGTTGGAATAACAATGTCCTCAGTGGATTTTTCTGCAAAAAATAATAATTGCTTCGGTCCGTCAATTTTGAAACTCATCGGTACACATGCTCATACTTACCTATACATAAATTCACCCCCCCACATAATGACACACACGCGTGTTCACACATCAACACACGCATACTTACTCACCCACACATAATAGGTAGAATTAATGGGTGAGAGGAAAAGACTTTATCCAAAATAAGCACTTACTAGTTGGATATTTCCCATCGGTGGTCCAATGACTTGTTTGTATGCTTTGGGCCATTGATTTCAGAGGGATCAGTATTAGCCCTTGCTCTTAATGCGGCTCCACCCATTTTTATTTGGTGGGGTGTCTGCCTTGTCACAACCGGAACAGAGACCATTCCACAGACCCCAGTTGAGAGTACAGATTTAAGTTCATTTTCGTAAGTCTGTGCCGCCATGTCTTGTTTTAGTGTTGATAGCGATGGTGAACTTGTAGTTACGACTTCACCGTCCCGCAGATTGATTTCATCGTTCGTTGTTTGAGCAGCGGCGTCCTGTTTCTTTATTCCTCCAATTGGAGATGGACTTTCTTCAACATCGACATTGGTTACCATTAAATGAGGACTGCTTGTCTTTTCCAACGATTTTGTTGGGGATCCTGTTGGGGAGCCGGTCACCGCCTCACAACTTATTGTTTTCATAAGCAAACTCTTCTTTCGTGTTTGATTGATTTCTTCGCGCGTCAATCCCAAAATCTGTCCTTCATTTTTTACCTCCATTTCGTACGATCCCGATTCTGATTTATTAATCAATGATTTAAAAAGTAAATCGGTGCTGGAAGACCATCTCACTTCGTTGGATGTTAAACTGTGTTCAAAATCTCTGCTAACTGTCCTTGTCGAGTTGTTTGTCAGAAGTCTTGTTACTGAATGATGTGTTGGCGACCCGGTTTCTACCCCACAATTCACCCTTTTTGCCATTTCATGTCTCTCTGACGAATTCCCTGGAGATGGGATAAAAGTTTCATCAGAACGGGGCTTTGAATATTTGTCATTTTCCGAAACGGGATGCTCTGCTTTATTGTTGACTGTTTTAAGGCACTTTTCAGCGGTGAGAGTTGGGTTGACCAATCTGTTTATAGCCAATCGGCCACTCTTTTTAGGAATGACATCAGGACGAGTTGATTTACTAACCGGTATTCGACTGTTTTTCAAAGGATCAGTGCTTGCTGACTTTACTGAAGTAGGCCGAGAAACCAGTTGTAGTCCGGTGTTGACATTAATTCTCTTGGGTGTCATTACTCGATTGTTTTTAGTGACACTTGCATCTGGATTGACTTGTTTGCCCATCGTTGTCATCCGGGAATTTTTTAGTGGAGCCGCTTCGGAAAAGGGAATCCTGTTACTGTTTGATTTAACTGCCAGAGACGCTTCTTGGGCGTCGGAATCGTTTGGCATTATTTCACTTTCTTTTGGCTCCGGATTCGTTGTTTTCTCTGTTGCAATTCGTGAACGTTTAGGAGTGGCAGTTTCGGGACTCGGCTGTCTGTTTGCAAATGCCCGTGAAATTCTGGTCGGAGTTTCTGGACAAGAAGGAATATGGCTTTTCGTACGAGTGGTTCTTCTCGGTGTGGACTCCGGGCTCGATGGCAGACCACCGGCAATTCGTAAGTCACGACTTGCATTCAAATCTGGACTTGACGGCATACTTTTGCTGGCGCGCATCGGTCTCGGCGATAAATCCCGTTTTGGTGACGGGGAAACTGGTTTGGAAATTTTCCTCACAGAAAATGGACTAGAAGACCTTTCGCCACTTCCAACAGGACTATCTTGATTATTCGTGCTCCTGCGAGAAGTTGGTATTTTTGTCAATGAGGGACTGTCTGGTTCTTTCTTCTCTTTGCTTTTCCCTTCTTGGATATCTGGGCTTTGGGATCTGTTTGATACCAAGACGTTTTTCTTCAATATACTAGGACTAATGTTTGGGGTTCCTTGGGGATTTTCCTTCAATCGTCTTCGTGGAGGCGGCACAGGCGCTGGTTCTTGGTCATTTACAACTGTTTTCAAGTCTGAGATCGTTGTGTCATTCATCTTTAAAATGTCTTCATGGCCGTGTTTCTCATTTTCCGTTTCTTTTTTATCAATTCCTTCGTCCAATTTAGATTTTCGACTCGGAGACAAAGCCAGACACACGTTTGAATCAGTATTCCCGGACATCATGTCAATGTCTTCTGTATTTCGTGTGTACCTTGTAGTTATCAAGCCAGGACTGGCTAATTTACTTGGAATTACATTGGTATTTCGAGTTGCAGTCGCCTCGTCCGGGCTAAGCAGACGACAAGATATTTCTTGAGTTCTTCTAAAACCTTCCGGAAATGAACTCCTTGTTATATTTTTAGGCTCCTCGTTTGTCATTTGCAATTGTTTGTTGAGTATTTCTTTTTGTATCTCGCAGTTCATTGGGCTTGTTGCTCTATTGACTGTGGAGATACTGCTACGTCGAGCTCTTTCGTGTGTTGGTGAAAGATTCGCAGTGACTCCCCGTGATGTGATCTGATGATCTCTGGAAGGCAGTCCACCATGTATTACGTGTCCTAGACCAAAATTCATACCTCCATGTGCCTTCGCGTATTCTTCAAATGTGGGTGAAACGGTGGCGTCATCACTTGATGTAGTTGCACTGCTACTAGAACTTGTTAAATTGTTCGAAGTGCTACAACTGGACATTTGACTCGTGGGAAAACTAGACACATCTTGACTGGCCGATGTGTTGGTTGTTGGTGTGGATGTCGTTGAAGTAGAGTTCGAGCTAACATTGATCAATTGAAAAGTAGTACTTGACGATTCGCGGCTTATCGATGGAAATTCTTCGTCTGTGACAACTTTGTCGAACGCTGACTTTTCTTCCTTTAACGAAACCGTTTCTTCTTTCAGCTGCAAAATGAAATATTCGAGAATTAATTTTATGTTATAAGGACTGAAAAAAAGAAAAATGTTTTCATAGTCATGATTGGAATTATGTTAGTTTCATCCTTTTGCATAATTAAACATTTTAAAACGTTTTTTCTTTATATAGAAATTCGTATACACAAGGATAGATCAATAACTACTTAACCTGTCACATAGTTATTAGCTCTATTTTGACGTGAAATTTTCATTGTATAATGTTTTTATTAACATGATTAATATTCACCAGTGAATTAAGTGTGTTGATAAGGAAAGCGATTTTGTTGAAAATATTTGGTGAATAAAATAAATGTTTTTTTCATTTCATAATTAAGCTTCGGAAATACCGATTTACACACACAGACACACGGACACACATTTACTTTAAGAATTTTTCTCGGATGTGCCGTGTGGTTAGACCGTTCGAATTTTGACCATACGACCCAGGTTCGAATGGCACCATGATAATATGCAAATAACGAAAGATTTTGTTAAGATCTCTGGCGATAGGAAAGAGTCGATCCATGCCTCTTCTAGAGTGTGCAGTGGGCATAAACAGTTACAACCAAAATTCGAACTCAGTCCGTCGATTCCATTTTCAGTGTATGTAACTGTTGCGCTGCCAGATATTTGGTATAAGAAAAGTTAATTAAATGGTCAACAAATAAAATTGTAATGTGTTATCGAAAACATTGAATGGAAAAGGCTAATCAAATGTTTTTCACCTCTGATTCTGTTCGAGAACATTCCAGTGACTTTGACTGCTGTTCCTTTTGAGGCACATATATATTTTGGGCAGAGCTGTTTGCTGTAGGGATATTTGCCAGCGACGATCTTCGACAGTTCTCCCTATTTGGATTAATCACATATTTCTGTAAGTCGATGCGATGAGGTGCCGTTTGGTTGAGTCCGTTTGAGTTCAGTGGCAAAACAGGCAGTTCCGATTTTGGCGTCACTTCCGTATCACAAGGGGCTTCTAATAGAGAATTTTTATCCAATTTGGATTTGTCATCCTTGTTCGATTTCTTGTCAGAAGAGTCCGTATAATCTGCAAATATCAAAAGCCGCAAAAATGGAAATGAGGCTCGGTAAAAAAATAAATACAAAAAGAAAAAGAAAAACAAAAAGAAGAAAACAAAAAAAGAAATGCTGCATAATATTTAAAGCAAATCTTACTAATTTGAGCCCCGAAAAGAGGCTTGCTCTGGTGGACATATCGGTGGTTAATATACTTTCGGTAGTATCACTTAATTTTAGGTGAAGGTCGTATTTTGAGAGATTAATTTCTTAGCTAACACACCTAACCATTTCAAAATATTGACGCAACAGTATCTTCCCAAAATATAAAATAATGTATCACGTACATTAACATAGCCCATAGGTATTGCGGTATCAGATGAAGGTTAATCGATAAAAGATAGTAATCTAAAAATGCTTGAAGATGTGATTGAACAAGCAGTCCATTTGAAATAATCGATAAACTTAATACACTACCTACTATAAGGTGTAAAGTTCGGTTCAGAAATTAACATTTCCAGTCAATCCAATAACTAAGAGATAATCAGTAAAAGAAATTGGGGGCGGGGATAAAATGGCTTTTAGATTTTAACATCTCCCAAACAAAACTGCTTTCATTTAATCACCATAGAAAACCTTTTCTGGCTTCCATCAGCATGGCTGATGCTAACCTCCAGGCGAGAAACTTTTTTCGCCTTCGCGGGCTCACGTTTTCCAATGACATGAAGTGATTATATTGAGTCAATTGCTTGGTCTAGGAAAGTTGGTTCACTGTGTGAAGCCAGACAATTTTTCTCATCAGAATCTATCTTACACATTTATAATTTGTTAGTCACTCATCGGAATTTTCGACAAGTCGAGCGGCCCGATGAGTGATTGTTAATGAAGTGCTCAATTTTAGATTACAGCGATAATAATATTAAATTAGATAAAATAAATAAGATTTAAATAAATCTAATTTTGGTCGGTTTCTGGGCAGAAATTCTGTTAAATTTAATCTACTTTAAATTACAGTTTTACGTGTATTCATTGTGGGTATTAATAGTTAGCATTACTATTTTATTTTTTGTTATATATCTGTGTGTGTAAAACAAAATAAAATAGTATATACACACACACACACACACATATATATATGTGTGTGTGTGTGTGTGTGTAAAATAAAATGCTACTATTAATACAAGCAATTAATATACGTAAATGGTATATTTTAAAAAATATATATATATATATATATATATACATATATATATATATATATATATATATATATATATATATGTGTGTGTGTGTGTGTGTGTGTGTAAAATTTCAGATATAACTAAAAATATATCTGTAAAACACAAATAAAAGGAATACTTATTTCAGTTGATGCATTTAGTCCTCTGATGGACTTTATTAAGGCAAATGGAGGGAACTTGTTGCAAAACAAAATCCTTACATTTACCTTGATAAAGTCTATCAGAGGACGAAACACATCGACTAAGATAAATTTCCCTTTATCTTTATCTTTATATTTAGTCTTGTTCTTATGTCCATCGTCTTTGTCATGTTGAATTTATAATGTTAATTATATTTTATGAATATGTCCTGAAGATGGTTTATTAGACCGAAACGTCCGACGTTGACATTATATTAACATTAAAACAGCATAATTGCATATAAGGATTTTTGTTTTTCCGTATATTTTTCTTCATATATATATATATATATATATATATATATATACTAGCTTAAAAGCCGCACTATGGAGCGGCATTTAAGCTAGCTCCTGCGGAGGTCTCTTAATGGGTCCTTCAACACAATAGGTAGGGAGGAGTAGATGTGATAATCAATAATAAACTACAGAAGAACTCAAAATTAATTGCTGCATTTAAGTATTGCGTTAATATTTAAACTTAACTTTTAAATGTTCAACGATAATTCTTCCGCCGACATTTAATTTAACGACAATTTTATGTACGTAAGTCTTTACTTTCCGTACAAACAATTATTTTTATTTCATGGATGACTTTTGGATTTATCAGTTAATTTCGATTATTCCCAAATTTATTTCCAAGTTATAAAAATTGTTTTCGTGCAAAAAAATTCGTCGCGAAAAATTACATTTAAAAATCGCTGAAAACAATCGCAGTAATGAAAATTTGGGAATCTAAAATTTCTGGATTGAGGGTCCCGTTCCGACTGGAATGTTTTTAATTTGCTCACAGAGTCGTCCTGATTCCAAAATGGTATGGTGTATTGGGCTACGGCCTCTAAGGGTAAAGTTGAAAAAGTGTAACATTCACATTTATTATATAGAATATATATATATAAATAAAGACAAAAGACAAAAACTTATCCCAAACTATTATGGATATGATCAGAACCAAAAATACCCATAACAATAATAATTCTGAAGCTAGTATATATGAAATAAATTGCCAGAATTGCGCCTCACAATACATTGGGGAAACTTGTAGATATTTAAAAAAACTTACCTATGAACACAAAAAGTGATCTTACAAGCAAAAATTTATCAAATACATTAGTTATACACAGAAATAAATTCAACCACAACTTTGACCCAAAGAACGCCACACTTATCAAAAGAGAAAGTAACTTATTTAGAAGGAAAATACTTGAAAGTGTCTCTATCGGATCTTATCAAAATATAAATTTGTGGCCCGAAATTTGCCAATATCTTCATTCTTGAAAGAATTACTACTTTTGCAAGCCAAGATACATAACTACAAAAATGTTAAAAAATCAAAAGAAAACGGTTAGACACATGTTATTCAAAATATTTAACATATAAATTAATCGCAAACTAAATTAATTTACATACTAATTTGCACAAAACTTCTAAAAAAAGGACGAAACACGAATCATGTCGGCTTTTCCTTTTGTCTTTATTCATACTGTCTCTATCTGAAATCTTTACACACATAAACATACACACACACACATCTATATTGTTTGCATATTCAACTGTTTTTCACAGGTTTGTGTTAATTCTTATATATAGATTAAATTTCTTTCACGTTCATGAGTTATGAAGTGAGTAGGTATCATAATGTGCCTAGTTTATGCGTTATTTTTTATACTTACCTTTTTCTTTCTTTTCTTTTTTCGTTTTTTTAGTTTCTCTGAATCTTGCACGTTTTAAAACCGAAAAAGCGAAAGAAAGTATAAATAACTATGCATAAACTAGGCACATTATGCTACCTACTCAGTCCATAACACATGAACTTGAAAGAAATTTTGCTAATCTCTATATAGGAATTATCACAAACACGTGAAAAACAGTTGAATATGCAATCAATCAATCAATCAATCATATATATATATATATATATATATATATATATATATATATATATATATATATATATATAACTCGCAATGACCAGAGATTGGCAGCTTGACATCTCATCTCTTATTCGATCTAGGTTTAACATCTCAGTGGTGGTGGTGGTGGTGGGGGGACTAACTGGTTACATTCAATACCTCGAAAATCAAGCTAGTTACATTATATCATCGCTGATCGGACCCCGAACTACCACCAGTCACGATGAATGGATGTTCCCTGGGGAGGCTCCGTGCCTTGAGATACTATTGGGCCTTAAACTTATCCCAGACTCTATGTGAAACTCGTACATGCAATCCATCGCTAAAGATGCAGGAAAAATGGTCGGTTCCCTGTACTGCTCCAGTAAATACTTGACTTTTCGTGCTATTCTCTACTTTGAAAAGATCCAGATCAGGCCAAAAAAATGGAGTACTGTTATCATATTTGAGCGGGAGTTGCCCAATCCACACTTTATTGTCTCGATAGAATCCAAAAGCGTCTCCGCGTCCGTGTGGGTGACAAATTGGGAATCCCTTTTATTAGAGACTTCACTGTAAAGTGCCAAAGTTTCAAACCAATACCAAGTCTAACATCTTATCTGATTCTAATTTGGGCACCTCGAGGTGATGTAATGGTTAGCAAGTTTGTCTCGCTAGAACAATTACGACTGAGTAGTGAGTTCGATCCGCACTGGGTGCCCCATACTTTCGGCCTTGTGTCACATCTAAGCTACGCTTGGAAAATCAGGGCACCTCGACGTGGTGTAATGATTAGAAAGCTTGTCTTGCTAGATGAATTACGACTGCGTAGCAAGTTCGATCCTCACTGGGTGCCCCATACTGTCGGTCTTGTGCTACATCTAAGCTGTGCTTAGAAAATCACTGATTCTAATTTCATTACTGTCTCTTTTTACCATTATTAACACCAATATTTTTGGCCTATTAACAAATGACTTTCAAAGTTGTAACTTGTTAACCTTAACTTAGTTTGGCACAAGGATGTAAGTATGGTGCACCTAGTGGTGATTTAACTCACTAATCGGTAATAATGATAGCTCGTTAACCATAACCCAACTCACAGGCGCCCATAAAATATTAAGCACAGGTTAGTTTTAAGACATAATTATGCAAAACTCAGTAAGGATCAAAGTCATAACTCAATAATAATGGTCAACCAGACTCGCTCGCTAACTATGAGGCGCCTAAAAGACATAAGTTTATTCAATATATACGAAGATTTGTTAAGTCTGGCACAATGTCAAAATAGTAAGATACCTAACAATATTAACAGTAGTCATATGAGGCTAACTTTTTAAGAATCGCTCAAGATTCGGGTATTTTAGATGTAGATTTGATGAGCATAGATAATATTTACTAAGCTTGGCTAAGACTGGTACAAGGCCACAGCAGTGAAACATCCAGTGAGTTTCAGACACATTCAGTGACGGAACTACATTTTTGGAGCCCTGAATCTTGAACAGATATGGGAACTCCTTCGCAACCAGCAACAATAGATTTGAGGATCCAATTGCCAAAATGTAGGCTATGAATAGATTCAGGCTAGCTCAATGAACCCATAAAGGTGGGGGTTCAGGCCCTCAAGCCTCCAAGAAAATTTTGAAATTTGACCAATTACACGGGAATTTTAAGGTCATATGAAATGGGTATTAGAGTATAGCCAACATTAGCTACTTCAACACA